ACAGGAGGGTCCCAGAGCTGTTGGGGACACAAGGATGGAGCAGTTTTTGGGCTCTGGCCATGGGCTGTCCCAGGATGAGCTCGCTCCAGGGTGGCAGGGGCATGGATGTGGGCAGGGGCACACGTGTGGGTGTGGTGACACATGTCTGCTGCTGGGACAATCCGTGTGTTCCCAGTGTGCCTCCTGGTGAATTTAGGTTCCATATACTCATGACTGGTAGGTTGGAGCTATTTCCCATCTGAGCTGGAGCATGTTAAACATTAATCATTCTCTCAGTGAGCATGAGCCAGGGCTCCGTTTTACCCAGGTCAATGAACAGCTCTCTGGGGCATGTTTGAAGCTAAGTGGTCGGTGTGGCAAAATTCCGTGTGTTTCACAATTCTTAAAAGCTAGYGGAACATTCCTAAGTGCTAGCAGGACGTAAAGTCCAGTTTTAATTTAGGATCAGTGAGTAACTTAACCAGACACAAGTGCCATACAGCTGTGGCAAGCCTGAGAGRATTCCTGGTGGTTTCCACAGGGCCTGGATTTTGCCCAGTATGTATTAGTGCAACAGTTAGTGTGTGAATGAAAGGATTTTGGTGAAAAGCATAGAGATTAGTGACTGTACCTGCTGAGAGGAGCATGGGACGGAGTTATTTTGAAGTCAGGTGATGGCAGCCAAATGTTTGTGAGAATTGGCTGACTCACCTTTGCCCCAAATTGGGGATTTTTCATCAAATGAAGTTTTCCTGAAATGCATCATTTGGCAAAATATTTCATATAATAAACTAGGCTGAAAATTTCAAACCTAAAAAAGCTTCTGTTTAATTTGTAACAGCATTTTTATTTATGTCCTGGAAGATGGCAAGAGTATTGCAGTTTGAATTAACRTTGCTTTCTAAGTGTTATTTAAAATTGTAATGCTTTTATTTGCATTAAGTCTTGATGTTTTATGGCTGTTTTTTTTTTTTTTAAGTCAGCTTTAGATTAATATAGTTGGAGCATAAGAACATGAGGGAGCTGAGCAGGAAACTGAGGGAGGGTTACTATGTATTGCTCATGTGARTGTGCTGATCCAGCACGCAGTGAAGTAATGGGTGCTGGATTAAGTCCTTATTTTTTAACAAAAATAAACATTCCCTCTATTTCTTTAATTTGGCTATTTAAAGGACATTTTTCAGTCCAGAGGATCTTGTGTTCCCCATGTGACCATTTTAACAAATTTGATGGGCCTGTTAAAACTGGGGATGTGACAGTTCAGACTTAGASTTTTTTCATCTTGTTTACTGTTCCACATAAATAAATCACAGAACTATTAGGTTCAAAAAGCCCTCTGAGACTACTGAATCCAGCTGTTTTGAAAGTCAGCTCTGGAGAAAGTCTTTGGCAAGACCTAGGAWGCACTTAATAAAGCACCCTGTTCCTTTTAGTAGCAGATTAATCATGATTTTGGTGCTGTGCTGCATATCTGAAACTATACTTTACCCACAGAGAAGTTCTCCCAGCCGTGCTAGTAAATTGAGAACATGTCCTGGCTCCTCTGGGGTAGCCCCCTCCATGCACACAGGAGGTGTAGAAAAGCCTTGGGCTTCTTGGAGCCTTTCCCAGGCCATTTCCCTGCTGGTATGAGCAGAATCCCCACTGCTCAGCTAAAAGGACTTCAGGGTGGATGTGGCACTTTCTTTATGCTTTTCTTCTCTCATGGTGCCAGGTGAAAGCTCTGAAAGGTGATGTTAAGCAAACTTGGAAGGGATGTTSTGTCAGAGTTGTCAGAGCCAGGCTTGGCTGTGCACTGCTCCAAGAGGCTGCCTGTGGAGGAAATAGGATTTTATCATCAGAAAAAAAATCCCAAACTGGGCACCTGTGCTAATGCTAATAAAAGGCTGTGTTTGCCACATGACAAATGATGACTTGCTAGTAAGAATAAGGCAAATTGAGAGGATTTGTGTATTTGTGTACTATAAATTTATCACTATATAATGGTATATGTCACCAGACCATGTCTGAGATGAATGCATCAAAGGCCAGRGATGCAGGAACTGGCTCTGAGCTGCCTTTCCTGGCTCCTGCATTTAAGCCCTGAGAGACACTAGACAGAAAAGCACAAAATCCTTAGCAAATGGGGTCTCCTAGAGAAGCAGGAGTGGTTTTGGTTTTTTTTTTTTTTCCATCTAAGTGCCAGATTAASTAAAGACTTGCTTCCAGGAATCCAGATTGTTAGAGATCCAAATTCTGGCCCAAAGTTGTGCTTGGAAGCAGTGATGCTGCTCTCTCCAGTGTTTGTCTCTGCACTTAATTCTTGATTCACCCTCCGGGTGCTCCTGGCACTGACCTGCTGCCCACGAGTAGGGCAGGAGCATTGGTCACATCTGGGATGTTCCTGAGGAATGCTGACTCCTCCTGGCATGGAACACCACCTGCCTTTGTCCTGGGGAATATTGGCTGATCTGTAAACGCTTGTGCTGTGCTTGGCACTGTTGTTATAAATCAAAGGCAGAAAGGAGCAATAGGAAGATATTTCCTGCCTCACTATCAAAAAGGGGGAAAAAAATGGAATTAGTTCTTCCTATTTTTTCTTTTTTTTTTTTTTAACTGATGGGTATATTTGGGAAATGCTGAGTAAAMAAAGTGTGTGCTGTACCCAGCCATGGATATAACATGGAGACATAATTTGTAATTAGATTATTATTAAATAATTGGAGACSGTGAACCAGCTACTTGCTTAGTGAGGAACTGTTTCAAACTTGACAGTTTTGTTAAAGCTGCTGTTACCAGAAGTAAAGCACTGGGGAAGAAGAAATCACTGGGATGGTAGGGAAAATGTTGTCACTTGTGCAAACAGGTGGCCTGCAGCTCCCTGAACTCTAGGTGGGCTGCAGAGGAAGGAAATTCCTAGACTTTTACACTGTTACTCCACTCTGAAGCAGCTAGGAGTTATTTAGAGGTTGTGTTCTGTAAATAMCCCCTTAAAATGAAAGATCTGTTCTGCACCTGCACACTAAACATGTAGAGGTACAGCAAGGTATCTGCCCACGGCATGCGACTAATATTTGCCAAATACTGATCTAGTGTGCATCTCTTTTATCTTTAACTTTAGTCCAGAGCTCAAAGTTTACCTTTTGTTTAAAAACTGATTTYACAGGGAGGTCATGTCCTTTAGCTAATCCAGCAGCAGTAGAGGTCTGTAAAATGAAAATTGAGTTTAYCATTACTTGGAGGAAAGCCCTGAAGCCCACACAAAAAAACCCTAGAGCATAGAGGTATCCACAGACATGGCARTATGCAGTGAGCCTGGACAAGTGGCAAAGTGGAGGAAATAATTAGTCCACCTTGGAATGTTGTGGTGTTGTTAGACCCAGCCTCAAACCAGAAGATAAGCCCTGACCATTTGTCCCTGACCCAGGCACAGCCCCAGCCCTTTCCAGGRTGCTGGTCACTCGTCCCACCTTCAYGTTTTCACTGCAAAGAGTGGGCTGAAATGATTCCCAAATAGCTGACACCCCAAAGCACACTGGGAAAGGCAGGTTTGACACTAAATGGCCACTAGAAAAAAAATCTACTGTAGCAGAGGGTGTTGTTTTTTACTTCCTGTTTTCCTTCATAAAGTTATGTGYRTTTGTATATAACAATCTGTAAATAGGRGTCAGAAAAATCCCACTCCTTGGAGACAGAAATAAGATATTACACATTAAAAATGTACTCACAATTTAAAACTGAAGGAAGAATGGTTCCTGTTCACAGCAAGTTTGGCACATTTCACTTCTGTGTCTATTGAAATAACTCTGGACACGTTGGCCAGGGCTGTGTGTCAGGCCTTGGGGACTTCAGCGACCAGGGCAGGACAGCCTGAAACAGAGCACATTCCTCTGCATTAGMAACATGCTGGGGACAGCTGGGGACAGCAATGAGCAGAAACCATCAGCCTCTGGGGCTGTGACTTCATTTTAACCACACAAATCATGCCAAATATAGGGATGCAACTCCTCAGACTCTCTGACCACAAACCCCAGTTTTGATCTAGTTTTCAGGGTGACCAGCATGTCCTCCACAAAAACCACAGAAATTTGAATTTTTTGCCACTTTTGCAAACTTTATCTCAGCTTCGCAAAAGCCGATCCCTGCAGATCCTTGCTCTCCAGAGCATCAGTCCTTACTGATCTGCAGTTCCCTGAAAAACCTGTGCCAGTGCCAGTCACAGCCTGGCTGAGCAGAATTSTGGAGAGGTCAGAACCCTCACCTGTACAGTGGAACTTGGAGTGAGATCCAGCTACAAATGGATCTCTGGGAACAGCCTCCAAAATATTCTAGGATCGTACCTTTAAAATGGCTCCACAGGGCAACAGCTCCAGCACGAGTCCKTGTGAGAAACAAAGCTCACTCTCCTGTTAGAATTTGAAAAATTTAATAAGGGACAATAGGGGACAAAGGCAATAAAGCAAAAGTGGCAACTCTGGGTGCTTTAGCCAAAAAGCACACCTGTCCACCATGGCAACACCCCTTCCATACCCTTTCTATTGCATCAGTCCAATACATATTCATAAACCATTATACAGATTCAAACATTTGCCAAACTAGTTTGYATGTTCCAGGAACTGTTTGGCACGGCCCCTCCTCTGATGCGCCTTTTAGAGCGTGCGCCGTCCTCGTGCTTGTGGCTTTGAGGTGCAGTGTGTCCCCCTGTTCCGTGGGCTCAGCAGTGACAGCTGGTGACAGTGGCAGTGTCCATAGCAGGGTCTTTGATGGGCTGGGACACCCCTGGACTGTCCCTGTGGATCACTCCTCCCGGGTGTTGGGGCTCCTTTAGCTGAGCTCCTTTGCACAGCAGAGGATGAGTGTCCCACAGCCTGTGTCCATGCCCAAAGCCACCCTGTGCTGCTCCGGCAGCTGAGTGCTGGGGTATGGTCTGCACCCCAGAGGATGAGTGTCCCACAGCCTGTGTCCATGCCCAAAGCCACCCTGTGGTGTCTGGGTGTGTGCTGCTCCGGCAGCTGAGTGCTGGGGGATGGTCTGCACCCCAGAGGATGAGTGTCCCACAGCCTGTGTCCATGCCCAAAGCCACCCTGTGGTGTCTGGCAGCTGGAGAATGGTCTGCACCCCAAACGTGCCAAGTGATCTCTGCGTGAATGTGCCCTTCTCTCCAGGCTGAGGTGTTCTGTATCTTATCTTTGATCAGTGAGCAGTGTAGCCTGGCCTTGGTGGCCCTCTCTGCAGCTTTTGTGTAGTTTTGCTATAATATGCAAAAAGTCCTTCGTGGAAATGTTTAAATCACAAACTATAATATTTCAGTTATTACAAGTTAACCACAACTACTCTAAACCAACAACATCAGTTATATTACAACTGTGTYTAAGTTACAAAAAAATAAAAACATTAGTGATTATTTCACAGCTAGGTCTGCTTAACTAAGCTACTTCTACAAAAGGGCAACATCATATTATAATGCACAACACAGAGCACCCATCTTAATATCTGCAAAAGCCACCACTATGTGTTTGTCACATTGTCCCAGCCCTGGCTYGCTGACACACACACCAGAAGCCAACAGGCACTCAGGCCCTGCTTGCAGAATTCATGAGCCAAAGCCTTGGCTTTCTGCCCAAAGCTGAGGGAAATCTGACAGCATTAATAAAGAGCCTTTGCCAAGAGCAATCACCCCMGTCCTTCAGGCTTGGCAAGGGTTTGTACAGTGAACAGACCCCAATTCACTTCCTAGTTCTAAATCTTTAACAAGTCTTGTTAGATTCTGGACAGTCAGTCAGACCACASAATTAAAAGACTGCACAAGGAATAACAGAAATTTTTCCATGAATTGCAATTTTTTTTCCCCCTCATCAGTCTGTGACTGTAGGATGAAGTCTTTGCAACCAAGAGATAAGAGAGCTGTTATAAACACTTAATCCCCTCAAATATTGTTATTTCTCAAAGAACTGTGCCAGCACGGAGCTGCTCCCACATGCCTAGAGTGCTTTGGGAGGGGCAARACCCTGTCTCACTTGGGTTTGCAGAACTTTGAAGATAAATAAAGTACTTTGCGTTGTGTCTCAGCCCATGGCAGCGCAGGAAATGAGACTGCGGTTGTCACCAAAACTGCGGGAAAAACAAAAACCCTCCAACAACATTTTACTGTTAAGAGAGTCGAGGATTAGATTATTTGTGGCCAGAATATTGTTGTAGCTAGGATGTGCCACAGAAATTATCCACACATAGCCTGGGTGTGCAGAAAAGAAACCATTCCATGACACAAGTATTTTACTAGATCATCCCCAATCTTTACAGTCAAAACCCATAGAAATGTATTGGTTCAATGTTCATTGGTCCAAAGTTGTGCAGTTCTTAGTATTCAGTTTCCTATTGGACCCGGACTGATTTCCTTATCAGTTTTTTCTGGACCAGGTGTCTCCAACCCTGCCAGGGGCCACATGTGGGGTAGATATTCATTGATATTTCATGATGGCTGCTGATACTGAGCTGATGGTCATTATATTTTTGGGTAAATTTTGGGAGATTCCCAGTCTTCTGAGATGTTAAGCTCATCAAATCTCACCTGGTGGAACAATGGCCTGGAAAGAAACTTGCAATTTCTTTTCCTGGGGCAAAGGCAAACAAAACCTTTGACTAAAGTTCTATAAAAAAAGATTTAAACTGGTATATTTTCCAACACTGTGAGTGCTTGGATGAGCAATCCAGGGAACTGGGAATTGCAGGCACTTGATGGAACTATTGCCTTAGGTCTGTTTAGGTTATATCTGTGAGAAGTGGGATTTGGGCTGGAGGGGTGCTGTGGGGAACAAAGGATGGAGTAAATCYGCTCCCTGGATGTGCAGKGAAGGACTGAGGTGCAGGGAAAGGRGTGTTTATGAACTGGTATTTCCCTGAAACTGGGGCTGGAGCAGTGATGGGGGTGCCGAGGCCTGKCAGGATTGGCCATAACCAACCCAACCAAGACCCTGAACCCTGAGTAGATGTGTCAGACATTTCCACTGGAAGCCAAGTCAGTAATAATTCCAAAGGAAAAATTATTTTGCTTATGCTTTCCTTTGGAATTGTTAGGGCATTTATTTTGGTTCTTTTTCTGGTCTCTAATTTCCTTTCTTAAATGAGTTTGTATGCTCCTGATACAAAAGTGTGTTTTCAGCTTGAAATTTGAGGTGGTTTATTTTGTTTCCTTAGGGTTTGCATTTTTTCCCCAAACTAATCATCCCTTCTATGAATATTCCATGTTGTTCTACATGACTGTTTTGGTTATAAAGCAGAGAGACAGAAGCAAATTTACCTTCTATTATCTTGAATTTTCCAAACACAAGTGGAACATCTTGGCACTCCCAAAACCACTTCAGGCACAGCTCTCTGAAAAATAACATTTGAGAGGTTTAACAACTCTCTTGTCTCTTGATCCCAAAGATTTGGTCCTACAGTCCCAGGCTGATAAGGAAAAGCTTATGTTATTCCTTTTGCAGCCTTTTAATTCTGTTGTAGGCTGTGCTGTCCAGTATCTTTCTAACAAAAGCTGTTGCCTTTGAAGCTCTTTTAAAGGGATGATTAGAGAACATTTGGGAGGCTCTTTCCAGAATTCCAGTTCCTGGGGGTTTTGTTGAGGATGTGGCTCACACTGAACTAGATCAGAACTGGATTTTGTGCTGAGGGTCTGAGGAGCTGCATCCCTRAATTTGGCAGGATCTGCAGGATTAAAATCAAGTCCTAGCCCCAGGGGCCTATGGTTTCTGGTCATTCCTGTCCCCATCCAGTGATGCCTCTGGCTGTGCTGGGAATGTTTGCTGGAAATGCAGCATCCCTGGGAATATCCTTTCATTCCAGAGCTTTTGGGCTTGTCAGCTTTAAGGTTTGTTGGAAGAATCACTGGGAAGAACGATGACAGTGAAGTTTCCCAGTTTGAKTCAGCCCAGCAGATCCCAAAGGCTCCTTCAGGAATGTTTATTCTTTTCTTGCCTTTCTGATAACTTAATCTCCACCCTGCCGTGAGCCATTAATTAATCAATTAATTATTAATTGCAGGAATGTTTTCTGAAACCTTTTCCCTTTTCTGMATTTGACTGTAGAGCTGTTCCCTCACGTCCTTTCCCAGCCTAAAGTCCCTGCAGCTCTTAGCTGGAAAAACCTGGCATAACTAGGCAGAAGTAACATTTTTAACTGAAAGCCTGGGCTGATTGAGAGGGGACACCAGAATTGGTCGCATAGGAAAATAAGAATTTAGGGYCTAAATTTGAGTTTATCTGTGAGGCATTTTTGAGGAAAAAATTGAGGTAATTTAAGGGGAGAAAAGGCACATTTTGGTAGTAAAAAAAGAGTTAATCAACGTAGCACAGGAAGGAAAATTTTGGGGGTAACACTGGATGTAATGTAGAGGAGACAAAATGAATATTTTGGAGTAAAAATGAGGTTCTCAGTAGTGGGCAGGAGAAGGCAAGCCTGACTAAATTTCTGGAGAAGAGAATTAAGTATTTGAGGRAAAAACGAGGTGATGAGTAGTGGACAATAGGGAAAATTGTGGGGGTAAATCTTGAGAACAGCTGCATGGTATTAAATAAATACTTTGAAGCATAAATGAGGGAATCAATGGTGGAAAAGTAGGGGAATTTTGSGAGGTTAAAACTTGAAAAAATCTAAGAGCTGAGAATGAGTACTTTTAGGTAAAAATGAGGTAATATGTTGTGGACAATAAGGAAAATTTAGGGGCTAAAACTGGAGATAATGCCTAGAATAGAGGATTAATATTTTGTTGTAAAAATGAGGAAATCAGAAGTGGACAGACAGGGAATATTTGGGGAGAAAACTGGAAATAATCCGCTGGCATTATGGAATGAACATCCTGAGGTGACCTGAGGTAATCAATTATGGACACGAAGTGAAAATTTTGGGTGGAGAAATGGCTATTTTCTCCAGGATGGAGAATGAATATTTTGAGGGAAAAAACGGATTACTGGTAGTGGACAGGTAGGGAATATTTGGGGGGTGAAGAGWTCATCTACACGAAATAAATAGGGGATATTTTTGAGAGAAATTGGGGCCAGAGGTGAGGGTCAGTCCAAAGACAACCCTGCTTCACCCCTAAATCCAGGATCATTTTTACAAGCTGCCAGCTGAGGGACTAAAGCCACCTAAAAGGGAGCCAAGAGCATTAAGAGAGTCGGTTCCTGGGAATCCCATGACTGTGGTGTATTGGAATTTTTAACAGTTTTAAGCTTTTGATGACAACAATGTGATTCTTCCCTTGGATTATTCACTCTGTGGAATTTGAGATTTCTTTGGATTTTGACTTCCCCCCAGTGGTCCTGACACTGCTCAGGAAATGGGAGGAAAAGCAGAGTCAGAACTTCTGGCAGGCTCAGGGTGTTTTCCTCCAGAACAGATTGTGAAAGAATTGGCTGGGACTTGGACTTTTTTTTTCTGAGATTTCTAGAATTCCATACATTTGAGGCTCTCCCAGCCTGTGGTGAGGATGTCTCCCTGCAGAAACTGATTTCCTTTCAGAACCTCAAGAGTGGCCTCTAGAAGTTTTATTCCTTGAGGAAAGGGATGCACCTCCCTGCCTTCAGTGTCACCCACCAGTGAAATCTGCAGTCCCTGAAAAACTCCAAACTTAATCCTAACAAAGCTTTATCCCATTATAACTTTTTATTTGAAGGCATCTCAGAGAGATTTAATTTCTTAGAGGAAAGATTAACCTGTCTTTGGAATGCTGATAGGGGGTGTCCTTAGGCTGGAAAGGAAGGGATCTGGAAAACCCCCCTGTGACTTTGGGTTGTAAACACTCACCTGGATGGGAAATATCCCCCTGCAGGTRGGACTAGCTGGCACCAAAACACTTSTGCCGCAGATCAGCTGAACCCTCAGAACTTGTTTTGCTTGTTTGTCTCGGGAAAACGATATTATACCTTCTGAGCCATTGGGAAAATGCTGGAAAGAACACGAGTTCAGGGTTATTAGAAGTGTTCTGTGCAATGGTATGGTTCTGATAYGATGGTATCAGGGGCCCTCCAGTTCTGCCCCAGAGCTGGTGTTTAAAGCAGCAACAGCAGAAAAGAAAAAGGTGCATTTGCACACAATTTACCTTGCTGGCACCAACCGTTCCCATTCCAGACCGTTCCGTGATCCCAAAATTGGCGTAGTTGAATGGAGAGGAATGCTGAGAATGCCAGGTTTGGGGGTTCAGCGCGGTTCAATCTTTGTGAGTCTGCTTTCAGATTAGAATATCCTGTGATCTGGAAACAAAGAGGGCCAGGCCACAGCACCCGGAGCAGCTCCTGTCTCCGGCGGCGATGCCACCCCGCTCGTTCCCAAGGGATGCGGCGATGCCACCCCGCTCGTTCCCAAGGGATGCGGGGTGCGGGAGCGCCGCGGGGCTGCGGCCACGGAGGAAGGGGAGGGGAGCCGGGGGCTGCTCTCACCTGCAGGGTGCGGCGGTGACCGAACAGGGTCCTGGCACCGGCGGAACGTGGGGCTTCCCAGGCTCGATTCCAGCCGCGACTCAGAGGCTACGGGAGGAAATGACTCGGCCACCGGTGGAGCCCAAGCTCCCCGCGGCCATCCAAGTCCCCTCTCCCCGCTCCTCCGGCCCCAGAACCTGCTCCCCGCTCGCCGGGGAAGAGGCGGCACTGCCCGGGACCCCCAGCAGACACCGAYAGGACCCGGACCCGAATCTCCGGGCCCGGATCCCGGTGCCGGCCTCACCTCCGCACCTCGGGCTCCGC